GGCTCACAGGGCCGTTTAGTTATTATGGTCAGCCTCCGCCCCCTGAGCAAGGGCTCATGGGAATTTTACTTATGCAAAAATGTTCTGAGGGCAGAAGGAAAAACGATTGGTTCAGAGAGATGACCACTTAGATTGTAGAGGAGGCAGGACCAACCAATCAGATATCTTGGTCCAGTCTCCTTTAGTTGCTTGCTCCCACCTCCTCTACAATCTGATTAGTTATCTCTCCGAACCAATCATTTTTTTCTTCTGCCCTAAGAACATTTTTGTGTAAGAAAAATTCCCACTATCCGAGAGAAATGGGGGTGTGTCAGACTCACAGGCTCGGCAGCGGTGAGGAATAATGGCCGTGTGGGCGCATGCTTTCTCACACAGAGCTCGACTCGGTGAAGCTGGCCCGGCTCATCTTCAACAAGCTGTGCGAGATCTGCTGCCTCTGGCTCAAGGACTTCCCGCAGCGGCGCCGCTCTCAGGCCTACTACGAGACGTCCATCCACGCAATCAAGAACATGCGGCGGAAGATGGAGGACAAGCACGTCGTCATCCCGGAATTCAACGCGCTGTTCAGCCTGCAGGTGACCACAGGGATCCCTGCCTCCTCAGAGGGAGCAGAACATAAGACAAGGCAGGGCGGACATCTTTAATCGGCTGATATGTAGTAGTGATTAGTTGTGAATACGATCATTTATGTATAACTTATAATTCCATGATTTATTATATCTTTTCCCAATCTGGTCCTCGGGGACCCACAGTCAGTCCATGCTTTTGCTCCCTCCGAGCTCACTGCCAGATGGTCTACACGTTTGCTCCACATTTCTGGTCCCTCAATGTCAAAATGACAGATTTTTATCACATTGTAGGGACGTTTGGACTCCTCAGTGTAATCTGTACATGACCCACAGACACACACATACACACATTGCGGAGGTGTGAGTTGCACTTGCTGCCATTGTGCAGTGTTTGTACAAATAGCGCCTTCGAGCGAATCGACATGCACACTGACGCAGAAATTCCACCTCTCCATAGACTCCAATCACATTAGATCACCTCTTCTGGCTGCTCAGGGTCTCAAAGTCAGGTCAGACGGAAGTCAGTCAATTCGACATGCAGCAGGAAAATTCAATAAAGAAGTAAATAAATAAAGACAGAACTTACAAACTGAGTCCGGACTGTGCACATGTTTAGATGTGTACAATATAGTGTGTTTGCCAGACCTCAGCTGGGCATCGCCAATCTCGGGTAATTAAGGGCACTTTTTTCAGCCCTCCGCGTTGGCTAATTAATTGCGCTCCGCCACCCCCCCACCCCCCCAAGGTGCAAATCCAGAAGCGCAGCAGGAAATCTACCACCCGACGTAATGAAGGCAGCTGGCAGGCCGATAGGGTTTCTGCTGCTCTGCCTTTGACTGGCTGAGGTGCGAGAGCTTCAGTTGCAGCATATGACATAATTAATAGCATCAGTGGAAAGCGTTACCTTCCTGTTATTCCAGGAAGGAAACCCTGTTTCTCAGCCCCCCCGTGGGCCCCCATGGTGTACGCAAAGGGCCACATGCAGCTAAGTGGTTGGAACATGTGGAATATCTTTACGGGCTGCGTGCCGGAGCACTGGCCACCAGAAGGTCGTGTCTCCCTGACATGCTTCTCCTCCACCGGGACAGGACCAGGAGGACCAGGCCTACTTCGCCGTGTTCGACGGCCACGGGGGAGTGGACGCCGCTACCTACGCATCCAACCACCTGCATGTGAACCTGGTGCGGCAGGAGATGTTCAGCCAGGACCCTACTGAGGCCCTGTGCCGTGCCTTCAAGCTGACGGACGAGCGCTTCGTGCAGAAAGCCTCACGCGAGGTAAGGGCAGGCTGTCCTCTGCCTTCCAGCTTCCGGCCTGTATGTGGGTCAGGGCTGCAGGTCGCCCCCTTGTGGTGAGGGTCGGTGGTTTGATGAAATGCCAAAAAGCAGCTATTTATGCAAAAGTAAAAGCGGTCACCCTTGTCGAAATGCGTGCTGTGGTTTAGTTTGCGAGTATATGAATAAAGCGGCATTAAGGTGTAGGAGTGGAGTTGCTAGTGGCTGGCAGAGTGCAGCCCTGAGCCTTGCGATGTGTCTCTGCTTGGCAGCGCCTGCGATGCGGCACCACTGGGGTGGTGACCTTCCTGAGGGGACGCACCCTGCACGTGGCCTGGCTCGGCGACTCGCAGGTGATGCTGGTCAGGCGAGGGCAGGCCGTGGAGCTGATGAAGCCACACAAGCCAGATAGAGAGGTGAGGCAGCCTTGCTCATGTCCATCCATCCATCCGTCTGTCTGTCCATCCATCCGTCTGGCCATCCATCGATCTATCCATCCGTCGGTCCGTCCATCCATCCATCGATCTATCCATCCGTCTGTTCGTCCATCCATCCATCCGTCTGTCCATCCATCCATCCATCCGTCTGTCCATCCATCGATCTATCCATCCGTCTGTCCGTCCATCCATCCATCCGTCTGTCCATCCATCCGTCCGTCTGTCCATCCATCGATCTATCCATCCGTATGACCGTCCATCCATCCATCCATCCATCCGTCTGTCTGTCCATCCATCCGTCTGTCCATCCATCCATCCGTCAGACTGCAGATCCTTATACAGTCTGAAAGAGTATTGCATTTGTTTATTGTAATTGGAGGGCAGCATACTGGTCTAGTGATTTGCACTATTGCCTTACACCTCTGGGACCAAGGTTCGAGTGTCCAAGGTGGCTCCATGTATAGAGTTTGCATGTTCTCTCATTGTCATTATGGGTATTCTGGTTTCTCATTATGTCATTATGGGTATTCTGGTTTCTCCCCACAGTCCAAAAACATCCATCCATTTTCTGAAACTGCTTATCCTATTCAGAGTTGCTGGGAGTCCGGAACCCATCCCAGAGGCTATGGGAATGAGGCATTAGGATGGGGCGCCAAACTCATTACAGGGCACACTCACACACCATTTACGCACATAAGTACATCTACGGGCAATTTGGTAACTCCAATTAACCTCAGCGTGTTTTTGGACTGTCAGGGGAAACCGGAGTTACGCGGAGGAAACCCCACGATGACACGGGAGATCATGCAAACTCCACACAGATGGGGCCATGGCAGAGACTCAAGCCCTGGTCCCAGAGGTGTGAAACAACAGCTGCCCTCAGCCCAAAAACATGCTGAGGAGTCTTAAAGAATCTTAAATTTATTGTTTCTAAACCTGCATCCATCCATAGGATACCTGCAGATCCTTACTTGGTCTAAAAGAGTGTTACATTTGTGTTGTATGGTTGGAGGGTGGCATGGTGGTTAACACTGTTGCCTTGTGCCTCTGAAGACCAGGGTTTGAATCTGTACTGTAAGGAGTGTTTGTATGGTCAGGTGGTGTGAGTGTTCTGCTTTGGGTTATTCCCTGATGTGTGCTCAGGTTTTGGGATATATATTTTTTTATAAAAATATGTTAGAGCTGATCTTTGTCTACCCCATCTTGTTGTCTGTGGTCTTGGGGGGGGGGTGTCACAGCACAGGGTCAGCCATTGTGTGGCACTATGGGGCTGGTTACTAAGGACCTTGCTCAAGGGCCTGTGGCTGTTGTGCTGAGCCTGGGGCTTGAGCCTGTGATTCTTGGATCATGGACATGGTGACTTAGCCCACTGAGCCACTCACCAACCCTCACCTCCTCCTTCCCTCTATGACCTTACAAATTTCTCAAGTCCATCTGAGAAGCTTGTGTCAGTGGATCCTAGTGGCATTTTTGTTATTGTGAAACTGGCTTTAAATTTAAAGTAACATTTAGGAGTTTTTAATTGATCTTGTCTAAACCTGCATCCACCCATAGGATACCTGCAGAACCTTACAGTCTAAAAGAGGATTACATTTGTTTAGTAGATACAGAGGCTGGTGTAGTGGTTAACACTGTTGTCTCTTACTTGTAGAGACCAGGGTTTGAATCTGCAGTGTGTGTCAGTTTGCATACCCTCCCTGTGTTGTCATAGGGTCTCTACTGAAGAATCCACCCTTCCACAGTCCAGAAACATGCCATGGTGAATTGGAGCTGCCAAATTGTGTGTGTGCCCTACGATGAGGAGGGGTCCAACTGCGGCTTATTACCTGCACTCATAGCTTCTGGGATATTTCTTTTGACAAATCCTTTATTGGCCAATTGCACAACAATGAATACAGGTACACTGGAATCCATCTCTTCACCTGCCCAGTCTGGCTTTCCATAGCTATGGGTTCACAGTGCAGCGTCAGCCGTTGTGTGGTGACCCTGGAACAGGGGGGTTAAGGGCCTTACTCAAGGGTCCATGGGCATGTGACCATTATGCTGAGGCTGGGGCTCAAACCAGCAATCTTCTGATCATGGGCACAGATAACTACCCCCCCCCAAGGGTTTAGACCTGCATAGGATGAGTGGTTACAGAAATTAAAATGTATATTAAAACCTCAAATCCATCTGTGAAGCCGGTGTCATTGGATCCTAATGGCATTTTTGTTATTTTGAAACTGGCATTAACTTAGATAGCATTTAGGAGTCAAATTTATCTTGTCTAAACCTGCATCCTCATCCCTGAAATGAAGGTAAATGATACTTTTGTACACCAGCCTCACTGGACGAAACAGCTCAGGGTCACGGAGATGAGTCTCCCGTGATTATCTCCTGGCACATGCGTGTGGTCAGGATTCCGCATTCCTTCTCCTGCATCACCCGCGGCACAGGAAAGACCCTGGACTGCAGGGGTGCAAAACTTAATGCTAGATGTGATGTCAGAGTGTGAACGTGTGGATTCAGCCGCTCAGAGTCAGGGCCCCGTCTGGGCCTGTCCGGACCGCATGCCTGGGGAGTGGCACAGCCATGTATGTGCCCCCATCTCCACGTTCATTGATGATCATTTACAACAATCACTTAAGGCTCACTTATAAACCATTTACCAATCCGTCGTCTGTGTGTTAACCATCGATATATTAGCATGAGTTACTGTGTTAATGAAAGCTGTTTTATCTATAATTACAGGATGTGTTTGTAAAGTGTCAGAGAACGGTTTGACGATGAGTGTGAATGTGCCGTTCGTTCGTGACGAGCCCTGAATTAACACGTTCATTCAGTTTTGTAAAGAGGCGAACGGCACGTTGTTTCATTTGTAAATTGGAACAAATGGGTTTGATATGTTAAAAATGAATATTAATAATAACATGAGTGCATATGTTTTAGATATACTTCATATACAATTGACACAAGGTTAAATACAGTACGTTCCATCCTCTGAGGGTTAGGGTTAGGGTAAAATGTGCTCACTCACTGTCTTGTTTCAAAGGACATACTTTCTGCAGAGAAGAATTCAGCTCGTACCTGGTATTGGTCATAACCTGCCTATAACCAGATCCTCACCCCCCACCCCCACAGGACGAGAAGCAGCGTATCGAAGCTCTGGGCGGCTGCGTCATCTGGTTCGGCACGTGGAGGGTGAACGGGAGCCTGTCCGTCTCCAGGGCCATCGGTACGGAAGGCAATAGGCCAGGGGGTGGGGGGGCATTTGGGTCTGGGGATTGTGTGGGGGAAGGACAGAGGCTTCTGGAAGGAAATGGTGAATGGAGGTGAGGCTTCACTCATGAACAAACACACTGCGGACTCCCTGTCCTCTGCAAACGAGAATGACTTTCACATCTGGGTCATTTTCACATCGCCAGTGCAGACACCGTTAGAAATGGTGCGTCTAGCGTGGGACGTCAGAAATATGTGGCTATACGAGACCGTGCCGCCGTAGAGAAGTTTACTGGGGGAAAATCCAGCAGATACCGTCCCTCCGGGGGCTTCTGCCACGGCGCACAGATGCGGAGAAACTTTTTGCTGCACTGGAATGGACGACTGAAAAAGTGGAGCATTTTCTGTGACCTCAGCAGGGCCAGATCTACGCAATAAATTCCTGCGGGATGATTCTGGAAAGAAGGACAAACAGCGCGAGTGGTGACCTGCATCTCCACCACGTCCCTATTTATAAACGCGCCTATTTTCCACCGTCACCGCGTTAGGGCTCCCGCTACACTGCCGTCGCCCATCTGCCGGAAATTCTGTGGCTTCAGTATCGCACACAGTTGCCATTAATTGAGTCGCTGTTGTGCCCCCCCAGTCCTTGCACCTGGCTTGAGATATTATCTGCCACACAGGAGCCAGACGTTTATTTTCCGGCTTAGTAACGGACTTTGTCTCACCGGGTATAGAGTCCGATTCGACAAGGTTTACTAAACACATGTAGACCCTATTTATGGTGGTGCAGTGGTTGGCAGGGTTCGAGTCTCCGCCATGACTCCATATGTGTGGAGTTTGCATGTTCTCCCCGTGTTGTTGTGGGGTTTCTTCCGGTTTCCCCCACAGTCCGCTGTGATGTGATGAAACACGCTGTGATGAATTGGAGTTGCCAAATCGCCCATAGCTCTGCGTGTCAGTGTGCGCTGTGATGGGTCTGAACGAGTCCTCACATCTGCACCTGGCGCCTTCAACAGATAAAGCATTCACTGTGACTGAGCCATTATCTGAAAGCACCCAGATTTATCCTGACCTTTGCTATAGTGCATTATAACAGGCATGGCGTGACTCAGCAACAGAATATGAATGTGTGAGGTAAAAAATGCAATATGACATAACAGCTTCAGATCCCAGCAGGACATTAGCAGTGCCCAGTCCTGCCATTAGATGGCCAGAGGTCTCGTGGCTTCCGTTTGGCTGGTGAAGGCCAACAACTGGGTGGAAATATCAGCACCTAGCTTTTCAGCAATTAAACTAGATGCCGACATGCCCACAGAGAAACCTGTTTAGCCTTAAGAAGCCAGTAAAAGTGATTTTGCTGTTGTTTAAATTGACTGCAACCAGTCCTTGTTTAGCGACTACCGCGGTTAGCAACCATTCAGAAATACGAGAGTAATAAAAGAAATAACTTTTCCAATCGATGCGTGCATTTACGACCTCATTTCGTTGACTTAAAGAGGCGTTTGAATTGGAATGTACAAAATTACGTTAGAGATGTCCACATGTTGATGTATACAAGAACTTGAGTATAGAAAGCTAAAATAAAGTCGTAAGCACAGTCGCGGTCATGCCTTAGCTAGCATGATTTTCACTTGGCGACTGCTTCGCTTATCGACCTGGGGTGCGTTTCCCAAAAGCATAGTTGCTAACTGTGTAGCAACTACGTAGCATAGTTGCTAACTTACATAGTTGGAACCGTGCAACTGAATGGGTCCAATGATATAAGTTGCTATTCGGCCGCTAAACTTGGAGTGGTTGTATTTGCTAGGCCAGCCCTCGTGGGCCAAGGCTCTGCCATGACCCTCACGGCCCGCTTCCGTCCGCAGGCGACTCGGAGCACAAGCCGTACATCTGCGGAGACGCCGACCACAGCACCTTCCAGCTGGACGGCTCAGAGGACTACCTGATCCTGGCCTGCGACGGCTTCTACGACACCGTGAGCCCCGATGAGGCGGTGCGCGTGGTCAGCGATCACCTCCAGGAGAACGCCGGTGACACCAGCATGGTGGCACACAAGCTGGTGGCCTCGGCCCGCGACGCCGGCTCCAGCGACAACATCACCGTCATCGTCGTCTTCCTCAGGGACCCCCGCTGCCCGGCCCCCCCCGAGGTGAACGAGGAAGAGGAAGAGGCGCCGGCTGAAGAGGAAGAGGAACAGGAGCAAGAGGAGGTGCTACAGGGTGAGCTCGGGTGCCAGGATGGAGGTACAGACATCCGGGGCAAAAACATGGGCACCTGGCCACTACAGCAGTGCTCGGCACCGGCAGACCTGGGCTACGAAGACCGCATGGACTCATTTACTGACAGAACTAGCCTGAGTCTGATCGGACCCGAACTGCCTTCTGAGGGGAGCCGACTCCTCTACCCTGGCGCTCCGTCTGCACCTCCCACCAGAACCGTCACCCTGGACCTGACAGCACCGGCAGGACCCGGTGCGGCCTGGCGTCCCTACAAGCTAGAGGGCCGCCCATCTCCTCAACGGTCCAGACGATGGCTGCAGATGGAGTCCCTCTTCCCCCGTGAATGGAGGCCCAGGAGGTGGATGGAGAGCACCTCCTCCAGGCGGGTGCCCCGTACAGGAGGGCTGAGAGAGGCCTGTGGCCCCCTGCGCCCCTTACGGGCCACCCCCTGTCCCCGGCGCTGCCTGAGAAACCGGCCCGGCGTCGCCCTACCCCGCGTGCCGCTGGGCGGCTGCTTCTGACGCAGTCATCTCCTCGTCTCTCGCTCTCTCCACCCTCCCTATTCCTCCGACCAGGACTGACCACTCACTTCATGGCACACTGGCACTGAGCCCGGGATGCCACCCCCCATCCCCACCCCACCCCACCCCACCCCAACCCACATTATCGCCCACCCCCAGCTAACCAGAATCCTAGGATGAGCTCTGAAGAGCCAGACATTCCCTCAGTGTCTTATAAACACATACTGGCATACTGGCATACACGAGGTCGGTCCATTACAGCGAACACTTTTACATTGGAGCTCAAAATGTAAAAGTCAGATCACATAACACTATGATTATATATATATATATATATAGACGTACTAGCATTGTGGAGACTGTATTATCAGCCATTAATATCAACTAATACGAGGCCATTATCAGTTTGGAGACCCAGCCTGAGGGATAAAGGCTGGCGCCCAGAGCAATGCCCATGGCGGCCTGCAAGCCTCCGAGGGGTGTGGTTGGGGGGGCGGGGTGGGGGCTGTCCGGAGGGAACATGTGCCTTTTCACCCAGACCGCAACCAAGACCAGCCAGCGGCACCAGAGGCAGAGAGGCGCTGGGGTGCCTCAGCCGTGGACGGGGAGCGGGTGAGCCCAGAGCTGACAGCCATATACACACACACACACCAGGCAGCCAGACGCCATACTGGACAGCAGTCTCTGTCGCCATCGCTCTTTTTTATGTTCGTTTTTCTTATTTTTGATCGTATCGCAAGACAATGGGAAGCTTTTCTTTCACGAGTCAAAACTTTTTTTTTTTTTTGTTTTAGTAGCCAAGTGTCTGAAGAATCTAAGCAATCGTCACCACAGCTGGGCTGAAGGTCCCCACGCTCCCCCATCTCACGATATTTGCTCCATCTCCCAAAATTAGATGAGGAAGTTTAGTAATGTAGATGTACGAAATCACCTTCCCCTCCATATTCTCACACTAACCATCACATTGTGCCATTTGAACCCGGGTGTCCCTGCTAGGCTGGTGTAGTTCCTGGCCAAGGGGGAAACGTCAGAGGCCCTGCCCAGGGGATCGGCGAGATTCCACACAGCAGGATCTCCTCCTGCCGTGGTCCTCTGTGCCTCCTTCTGTAAAGGACATTTACCCGCCACCCTGTTCCCGGCATAGGAACATGAGAACCGCAGCTCACCCCGGCCGGCGCTCCACCGGACCACTATGCCCGACTTGCAGGGGATGCTCAGAGACACCCCCGGGACCTCCGTCTGCCCAGACGTGGACATCTACATGGGGCAGACATGGGGAACGCATCTGTGTTCATTCTTCAGAGACTGGAGAGAATCTGCCACGTTGGGCAGGACGCAGTAGGGGCGACCGTCGCCTGGTCGCGAGATGGACATACGTACAGCCAGCTATCGCTCCCTCTGCACAACCATGCCACCCTGCACCGAGACCCTGGAGGCACGGACGCTGTAGGCGCTGGCTGGTCTGTCTGCAAGGGATGAAGGCACCAGCGCCCCCTAGGGTCTGGACTGACTGTCTCTGGGACATTGTACTGCATTAGACTCCCAAACCCTGCCCTGTGTCTTCTGTGCGGAGAAGTTGTAACCTACATGAAGGTGGTTTCCCCAAACCCCAGAGCCCCTAAAATCCTACCACCAGCTTCTAAAGCAAACCTGATCCCAAAATCTTCACACCCAGGGCACATAATATATACTGGAATTCTAAAAGAGAATATCACATATTTATATAAATATGAATATATATGTGCGTGTGTTCGTGTGTGTGTGTGTGCGTGCACATGTGAGCGTGTGAGAAATCGAGTTCTGGGCATGTAGTCTGTTCCGTAGTAGAATATCGAAATCGACTGTAAATTTAGCAAGACGACAGCACATTCGGCCCGTGTAGATTCGCACCGCTGCACTGTGCTGTCCTCGCCGTCCCCGCAATCACATGACCCCTCCGGAGGACAGCTGTGACACTTTTGTGCTCGGCCAACAAAAGCCAGCTTCTGTGACGTTACGCTGAGCCCACGAGAGGCACGTTTCCGAGTCCCTAAACAAGGGTTTCCGCCAAAGATCGTAGCGGAACTGTGTAGCCTTGGGTTCCGAACTCTGTCCTTGGGGACCTCCCGGACAATTCATGTTTTTGCTCCCAGCCCCTGCCAGACATGGAGCAAAAACGTGGACCATTTGGGGGTCCCTGAGGAGCGGGTTGAGAGACACTATGTTAAAAAACCACTGAGCAGCTGTCGCCGGTAACCCTGCCTGCCCAATGCTGCCTTTTGCTCCTGTACCTTCAAACTCTCCACGATCCAGCCCCCCCCCCCCAACAGAACGGCTTTCCCCTCCCTCCAGAAGCTTTGTCAGAGAAGCTTGGTCGTGCCACTTGCCCCCGCTTGGTGATATAATATGTACATGTAGTTCAGGTTTGTTCTCCTTCCCCCCTGTACCCCCCACCCCACCTTTCCATTACTCCATACTTGCGTCCAGTAACTGCCGCTTGTTCCTGTAAGCAATAATAATGAAACTTTATGAGCCGCGCGGGGGAAGGCTCGCTCTGTGGGTTTGCTGTCCCCTCCCAGCAGAAGCCCAGGGGGGGGAGGGGGGACGCCGCTGTTTAGCACACGGGTCCCGTGTTCCCAGTGCCGCCGGGGGCTGATTCACCTGAAGGTCTTCCAGCTCACCTTCATTGCCGGCGAGCCCCTGACCCGGTCCGAGCGCGGTAGCGACGAGGTAACCCGCGTTTAGCTAGAACAGGAACCTCACGGTATATTCCGGAGCTGGGGATGTGGGGAAGGGCAGTGCAGAGAGACGGCGACCCCTTACCACCCTGGATGGGGCCCTAGGACTCCCACAGGTACGGAAACCTGTGGGCTGCAGCGTGCCGACCATCTGAGACCGAGCAGGTGCTCAGAAACACTCATCCCGGCCTTTTGCCAAGTCACATGACAGACTGACAGACACTTTCTTATTTTTATTTTTTTTAATCAGACTTGGGGACCCGCTTTCTGTGTATGATGGTCTTATTCCAGCTCAACTCTTAATTAGGACTGAGGTTCTGTCATGTTCTGTCATACCTCTTACTGCTGCCAGTCTCTGCATGGCCTTTTGGAACATCGACTTCATGAGGGACACATTTTTTTTTTTGTCTGTACGTTCTTAATAAAGCACTAGTCATAACAATAATCTAATAATGGTCACCCAATGGTCTCAAGCCGACGTGAATTAAAAAGGGCCGTTCGTTGAAAGCCGAGATATATTGATTGAATTGAGATGTATTAGAACCGCAGAAAGTGCCAGATGGGCTCCCCGCAGCCTCTGGGGGCCGCGCACGGGTCAGTATTCTGCAGTGGCTCGGTGATTGAGAGTTTGGCTGGATCTGGAGCCTGTGTACACAGCGGAACCCCCAGGGCGCTAAAGACAAACCCACAATGTGCTCTTCCCCAGTCTGCAGGTTAGCTAACCAATAATCGTCTCTGTATCCGTATCCTCTGTGTTTATGTAGAATACATGTGTGCATATCTTATCTGGTGACTATTATCTTGTATAAAGGTTAGATGAACTAGGTCTGCTGTGCTTTATTTCCACTCCCTCCTATGCGCCCCCCCCCAGTGGTGAAGCTAGCCAAGCACTGAGGCCATCCCCAGGTGCACTTTGATCTGTCCGCAGCGCCCCAACAGCGCCACCCGGTGATTTCATTAGCACAGCTCCAGTCTCCACCCGCCAAGCCCTACCTATGATACTGAATTATTAAATTAGCAGAGGTGGCTCTTAATCAAGGCTGGCACATCTCTTGTGGAGACGTGGCGTGGCATCACGGGCGTCTGGGGTAGGGGGTGAGGGCTGAGCTTTGCTTACGCTTTGATTTAACTGAGTGCAAAGACCCCCAAGTCCACTTAATAGCACGAGTGTGACTCTGAATGGCGCCAAACCAGGGACGCATAACAGTAAGTGTTAGAGTGGGGCTATTAGCAAGCAGAGAAATGTGGCTTTTTCCATTTTGTCCTCTTTCTCCCTCACCCTCTCTCCCCAGGTGCTTATACGGGGGACAGATCATTTTAACCGTTTTCAGGGCTCGCCATAAAACATTCATTATCATTAGTTATTCAACAATACATTTTTAGAAACTACTGCGTCCGAGCGACTCCTGGAAAGAGCTTTCAGGCGCTTTAAAAACAGTGCCGACGTCCATGCCTGCATTTAAGGGTGTAGCGACTACACTGGGCGCAGCCACACGAGAACAAGGAGATGCTGGTCCCAAAAAAATAAATATTTATGGCAGGTCGAGTGGCAGAAAGAACACGAGCATCTCGAAAGGGGACTTTCTACCGAATCTGCATTTCTCTAAAGACTTCCCATGTTCCCATGACACTTAGGAAAGTCATCACCCACTTTTCATTTTCCCAACAACAAACGGCCACAGACAGTATGTCGTTCACACCTTTTGTCTGTATCCATGCCAGCCGGGAAGAGGGAACGTTGACGTCTCTGGTCCCCTGGCTTCGGGTAGAGGTAGTGATTAATGGCTCAGTTCAACCAAGGGCATGGGGACACAAAACAGAGAAACGCCCGATGCCCGGAAGGGACTGAGGAGCCCTGCTTTAAGTGGGTCAGGGCATTCTGACACACTCCGCTTTTTAATATGGGGACTCTTACAGAAGTCTGCACCATGTAGTAATGGAGTCTTGAAGACATTCCATCAAAAGAACAGCCACCCCCTGTGCCAGGTGCAGAGTGCCAAGAGCCCAGCAGTCTCATGTAGGTAGAAAGAAGTATCTCCTGGCGACGTCGGTGCTGAAGAATGTGCGATTTGGGCCCCATCTTACAGCTGATGTTACGGTCCAGCCAAATGAATACCTGTTCCATGACTAGACGCTTCCAGCTTAGATGTTCCATTCTGATTCCCCCAGTTATCCACCGTCCTTCAAAACATTTGTTGTTGAAACCATTTATACATGTAGACACACAATTTAAGTCCCTTTGTCGTTAAACTCCATGGACACCTTATGGGGTTGCATTTATATAGATAAGCATTTGACTGGCCAAGAAACTTTTGAAACTGAATACCTATGTAACGGTCATGCCGAGTACCAGTCAAGGCCCTGGAATCTTAGATGGTCCATTTATGCAAGTTTTAATCACAC